CCTTGTTCTAGCAGAAATTCTATCCTAACCTCAACTAATGTCGAAAAACGACGAACGACTCGAGTCTCACAATGAAAAATTTGTGACGAAATTATAGGTAAAAATTTGTTGAAAAGCGCTTGTTCTTTATCCCTAAACCCATTTTCGTGTTTGATCTATTCGAACAGAAATCCTATTTTTGTGTTTAAATTGTGAGTTTCTGGAATGTGTGGTGTTAGAAATTATACCTATGTCCTGTGTGCTAACTTTGATGTAAACTGTTGCTGCTAGACATAAACTGCTAGACTCCATAAAGGGTAGTAGGTATAATCTGGTATAATACCTGATAAATACCATGTGATAATACCATACGATTGAAAAAAACCGATTTTCAAAATGACTTGTCATTTATTCCGAAATAGAAAAAGATTTATATAATAAATCATTAAAAAGATTTACGTGTTTTTTATAAAATGCTCATGGCAGATTTTCTATATATTTTTACGATTTCATATATTTTTACGATTATTATGATATTAAACTTTTTAGGCGGCGCCAATATAGCAGAATATATATATATATATATATATATATATATATATATATATATATATATATATATATATATATATATATATATATATATATATATATATATATATATATATATATATATATATATATATATATAATATATACCACTAGCAAATAAAACGTTAGTTTTTCGGAGCCGGGTTTGGTTATTTGTCGTGTTACGCGTGTGTAGTGGGTCTGCTGTCTTTCAAGTGAATACCCGACTCCGTTATGTAGCCCGAAAGACGAACGAAAAGACTTTTTCCGTACCATCTTTCACCGTACATGGTCAAAAACGAAAGAATATGGGGAATAATGGGATCAAATATCATCAAATCTACGATTGTTGATGATATTATAACCAAACAATTGATATGGTACGGACATGTACATTGTACATCAGACGATATCAGTCGACAGGCTCCCAAAACAACTGCTGAAATGGATGCTCCAAGGGAGAAGAGGAAGACCGAGAACAAGCTGAAGAGAAGGAATAAGTAAGGAAATGGAACAAAGACAGCTTGCTGATCACCTGTGGCAAGATAGAGAGAAGGGACGCGGTTAGGAACCGGTAAACGTCGTAGAACCGTTGATTGAAGAAATAAAAAGATGCGCAACCTTATGGGCGATTTCGTGGCACAAGACCTGTCCGAGATGTAGCTGGCGTTACCGTCAGCCTGTCCGAGAATTCCTTTAGCTCTGCGCCGCTGCGCGCTGATAGTCGTTTACAGCGCAGCGGATAAAGAATACTGCACCGTAGCAGACCGTAGTCGATAGAGTGAGTGGTGGCCGGAGACAGTGTTAAAACTACTGATTAATCTACAAATTTACGGATTTTGGGCATAGTACGTTAATAATACGGATTTTCTATCATTAAACAATTTAATATAATACTATATGATTAAGCAAAGAACGGCGTCAGAGTTGGCTTGGAAATGAAGATTGCTGTTATTTCATATGTAAAATATTATGATAAATGTCAATAATCGTCATTTCCAAGTTAACTAAACGAACTTTTTTCGATCATACGACATAATATTCAGTATCTAGAAAAGAATTTGTATTTTTGTTGTTTATTCTATGTTAAACACGAATAAATTTTCAATACATAAACGCGGATTCTTCATCTAAAGATATTTTCGTCAAACGTATTTCATATATTACACATTTAATATGGCAACACTGTCGCTTTCAGATCCACACCATCTTCGATATGCCTTCGCTAGCCGAATTAGAGAAAATAAGTTGTTTATGCGTTGACCGCAGCACGATTGGTGTCTCCACCCTCAGCATTTGAGAGGTAAGGGGAAATCAAATCAGCCTTGTCACGAATTCGTCCATTATGTTGCGTATTTTCCCAATTCTTTCAATCAACGGTAGAACGTTGTAAACCGAATGTATATTTACATCCCTGTACTGAGTATCTTAAATAATTAAAAAAATACTACTAAATAATAATTTGTATAATTATAATTAAAAAATCGACATAACAAAAGAATACGATAGTTTTAGATTGAATCATATAAATTTATACGAAATTTAAAAAAATATATATATACAAACATTTCATAATAAAAATTGAGCAAATTCTTCTTAAAGCTTACACATATACTTAAGTGGTATTAAATAAATAAGTGAATTTGTTTTATAATCTACAATAAGTCTTAAATACATTTTAAACACTATTTTTATAAGTTTCTAATTGTCTTTATTTAATGTTAAACTTAATATAGGATTAGTGGCGAAATATGAGAATGCATGATCTTCGTTTTATAGCCAATACAACATATTATCCACTTAAGTTATCATTCAAAGTAATGATACATATATGTGGGCCGATATGTTGTTTAAAAAATAAAAAGTACAATAAGATTTCTAAATCCGTCTTATGTATTATAAGGTTTTATGAGAAAAATATATACAAATGTATTTATATACAAAGTCTGGTCTCTATCATAAGCACATATACAAACACTAAATATTTAAAACACCTATTGCCTATTACATAATGTTTCTCGTCATTAGAAATATGCGATACTATTTTTTTAATATTTTCATAAAACATACTCTTATTGAATTACTAGTTTTCAAAAATAAAATAATTTACGTGTAATTTGGAATTTATTTAGAAACTAGAGAATGTTTTTTTATACACTCAGATGCAAAAAAAACGCAACAGAGAAATTTTTGGTCAAATTTAAAATGTAATTGTGTGTTTTAATTATTTTTGTTATTTTTAGCCATATTTTCATGAATTTTTTAGCAATCTGTGTACAGTACGTCTGTACGTTCTGTGGCTACGGGGTATCCGTGAGAGGGGAAACGATATTATCTCGATGTTTTTCATAAAAAATTAGACGACGCGTCCCGGAGAGCGATTTGCGGTGACGTACTCGTCAAGTCGACGTATAAAATATATTGCTGTTTATTTAAATGTTTTTTGTCCGCATTCCTTTCATAGACACAGATCCAGCAGACGAACTGTATAGTTATATCAATTTTAATTCGTAAACTAAGTTTCTTATAAACTTTAGTACTTGGCATATTATACAGGATTAATCGAGGGGTTGTTTTTTTACCTTAACTTTAAAACACCCTGTGCAATAATTTCGTGTGTAAATTTCCCTAAAATATGATTTTACGGTCAGAACCATGACTTCTGAACATTTTGTTTTTTGATTCATGTCAATACATCTTTGGTTAATTTTTAAGAGCGAAATGATCACGATGATTTTGCAATTTTTTCAATTATCATTACATTTTATAAAAAAAAACGTTAAAGACTAACGATACAGTCTTGGTTTTAATAAACATATTAATAACGTTAACAGAACTAAAGATATTAAAGAAAGCATCTGTAATACTTAAGTATACCTACAAACAGAAAAAAAATGTAAAAAATACCCTAATGCTTTGCGTTGCTTCCCTTGGCTGCTATACCTCACAGTGGTTCCCCTTAATTAGCTGCGCGGTCATAACTGTTAGATATCTAGATATAGCTTGACACAAAGAGCTTGACAGCACTTTTTTAATAGAAATTGATAACAAATCCTAAATAAATAATAAAAAACTAATGTAATATGTATTTAAAAAAAATGGGCTCAGTTCGTGTGATTTGCATTTTAAGTTCTAACTATTTGGAAAGGTATACAGATTATGTTTGCACATATGTACATGTTTTTTCATATTGAAGAGGTCAAATTTATTTTAAATGTTGAAAAAATAAAAGAGACAGTTGTTTCATTTTATAAATACAATTTTATTGTCAATTGATATGCAATGTGTCCACGAAATAAGTTGACACGAAGAGGAAAAAATATGTTACTTTTATTTTAAGGCAAAAAGTCAATCTTTAACCACCCGGTATAAGAACCGGCACGGCGGCAATTCACGGCAGCCAGTGGCAATTACTTTATATGCAATATACTTTAGGCAACAAGTATTATCATGCCGTTTAAGAGGATTTGAAAGGGAAAGTAGTTAAAAGTCTTAAAGAGTGACAAGCAAAAAAATTTTTTTTTGTTGCCTTCAAATAAATTGCCATAAACTAATATTACTTAGGTTTAATTAAGTGCAAAAAAGAAAAACAGTTCTTTTTACCTTCTTTTCGAACGTTTTCAACAGTTTTTATCAATTTTTATAAAATAAATAATTAATTGGCGTTATCTGAAAACTGTTTATGTCAGCTTGATACCAGTAGCAAAAATGTGACATTTCTAATAAAAAAAGCGCTACACTAGGCTTATTTGATTTTGTTATTTATTATGTATCGTTTACAAGGGAATATAAGAAAAGTATTAGCAACAGTTTCATACAAACATTTTGAAATTAATATTTCTAAGTAATGACCTATCTGGGAACCACTGTGTAACGGTCTGTAGTCCATACTGTCATTAAGGCTGCATATATCATATTGCGTTATGCTTTCCCATTCTTCTTTAAGAACCAATAAGCGAAGTTCATTTAATGAAGCTGGGACCGCTTCGCGACCTCTAACCCTCCTACCAAGCATGTTCCAAACGTCGAACATGATGGGCAGTTCATCGTAGTATATAGTTCACAATAATCACTAAAGCCGGCTTGTCATATTGAAAAATAACTTCAAAAAGAAATGATAATTGAAAAAATTGCAAATTGCTGGTGTCAAGTTCATTTCGCTATTAAAAATTAACCAAGGCATATATTGATATGATCCAAAAAACAAAATGCTCAGGAGACATGGTTCTAACCGTAAAATTATATTTTAAGAAAATTTACATACGAAATTATTGCACAGGGTATTTTAAAGTTAAGGTAAAAAAACAACTCCTCGATTAACCCTGTATAATATGCCAAATACTAAAGTTTATAAAAAACTGAGTTTAAAAATTAAAGTTGATATAATTATATACAGGATGCTAAAAAATTCATGAAAATAGGGCTAAAAATAATAAAAATATAACACTTTAAATTTGACCAAACATTTTTCCGTAGCGTTTTTTTTTGCATCTGTATTTATACAGCATAAAGGAAATGACCAAAAAATTCATTGAAAACTAAGTAGCATTAGAGACGTATATCTAAGAAGTTTTCAAATTACTGCTACTCCCTACTATTAGTATCTATAGATAAGTTATTTAGCTCAAAATTAAAAGCATTTTCTTTTATGTTGTTTGAAATAGCTTATATTGAGATCATATTTTTTCTAACTTCCAACTTCTTTTCTAACTTCAAACACTTTCAATTCGCCTGTGATAAACAGAAATATCAATTGGTATTCACTAAAAAATCATATTAAAGTTAATTCAACTTCGAAACACAATATAACTTCGGTCTGAAAGTTTTCAAGAAACACCACCAGAATCCGATGTATGTCCTCCATTTCCAGCTATCATTTCTGAACTGTTGCTAGAGTTGTGACAATGGGTACAATGCAAACATACGTTACATGCACCAAGTTTCTTTGCTAGAATTGATCGAAACTTGAGGGCGGGTCCTAATTTCATTCCCATAGTGTTGGTAAGATGCTCTTCCGTTAGTAGGGGTAGCCCGCTACCATCAATGCTTTGATCACGGAAATTCTGAAAAAAAAACATAGTACGTTTAGTATAAATATACAGGGTGTAAACGAACCAGGGCGTAAAAATCAGGAGGTGATCGGTTTTACAAAAATAATGGCGACTTTTCCATAAGTCCGCATTTTTATAATTTAAACGAATTATAACCAGATGCTGTTGGACGGTGGATGGTAATATCGTTGATTGAAGAAATAAGAAGATGCACAACCTTATGGGCGATTTCGTGGCACAAAACCTGTCCGAGATGCACCTGGCGATACCGTTGTCGCTAGTCAACCTGTCCGAGATTTAGTTAGCTCTGCGCAACGTATAAAGAATTTTTTACCCTGTACTTACTTTCAGTCGACAGAGTGGTCGGCTGCCGAAAAGTGTTGCCAGAACTACGGATTAATCCGTAGATTTACCGATTTTGGGTACAGTACGTTAATAATACGGATTTTCTATCATTAAACAATTTAATATAATATTATATGATTAAACAAAGATATATTATTGCAAAAAATAGGGCCAACTAAACGACTCTTACTGAAGAAATGCAAGATATTAGATTGCATTGTCAAGGAAGGAAGAATATGTAACATTTCTGTTCCATACGTAACATTCCATTTGCTGTTCCAAGATTCAATATTACAGAGGTTAAAAAATCAAATAATGAGCTTTGTAGTGAAATGGTACCAAGAACGAATAAAAAAATCAAACCATGTACGAAATAAAAAAAGTAAATGAACTTAAAGAGAAAAATAATTTGTGTGTAATGTGACTGAAGAGTATAGGCAGAGACGAACAAACGTAGAGAACAGGGCCATGTAAGTGAAATATTCAAAATGGTTCCAGCAAAAGTTTCCCAATTATGACGGGTGATGGCGCTGATCGTCAAGATTTTTGGACAGGGATTTTGCTTACCGACAATACGACGTGAGCTACGACCAGACCGGACCAATCAGAATGATCAGTCTTTCTTGGATATTTGCCGCGGAAGTGTGTGTTAATTTCTGTTGTGATAAGTGTGGTTGTGTTTGCAGTTTGATTTTTCGGTTTTGATATTATGTTAAAATTAATTTTGAAGTATTGTATCACCTGTTTTTATGTAATAGTACTTTTTTTAGTTCTATGATCTGATATGTTATGATTTGTTAATGTTTGTTTAACAATGTTATACCAAAGAGGTTATACTCAATACCAATTTGCATAGCCTAACTTTTTTTATCAATAAACTTTGTAGATTTTCAGATTATTTAATTCCTTTTGTTTCCGTTTGTAATTTTATTTTTAAGACATATTATGTGATTGTTTCAGATAATATGTTTTAAAAATAAAATAGCAAATAGCGAATAAAAATAATTAAAATAAAAAAGTGTATTTTACAATTCTCCCCGGCACCGCACCCCTTTGGCTAACCTGTAAATGTCAGCTTTGTCGAGAGATGGCGTTACGAAAATGGAACCGATTTATTACAAGGAACTTGGTCTTCTTTTTCGTTAGTATATTCTGTGGTAGAGAAGCGACAAATACCGTCGGCACTACTGAAGTAGGGGGGACCAAGTTTTGTGACCTTCAAATTGGCGTACCTGACAGATAGCATGTTTATAGTAGTTTATGTTTCTAGCTACACTGAGAGAAATTCAATGAAGGCAAAAGAAATAAGAAAAGTTGTACACTGAAAAAAACATGTGTTCAGTAAAAAGTATATTAGAAATATTTAGGAATCATATTGAATAGTAACTCTTTTTTAAGATTTAACGGTTTTCCGCGATTTATGGATTTACTGCGTTCTAACCATTTTCTAACATATTCCTTTTAGAGAGACATTTTCAAATCATATCTGATAATATTGTTTGTTTCGAAATTAATATTTGAAAGTGTGTTTTTAAGTAAAACAATTTTAAGAAAAATTCGAATATTTATCAGCTGTTATCACAAGCGTTAAACCAAACTAAAAAGTAAATAACATGATACAGTTGAGGGTTGGAACTGGGGTATTAAAACAGCAAAATAAAACACCAATTCTCCATAATACAATAAAACACTTTACATCAGTGCATCAGCAGATGATTAAAAAACATAATATCTTTATAATATGAGAACAGAGGTGGTAGATTAAATTTGCAAGAAAGAAAACCCAGTAAAGATTCAGCGGTAACCAAAATTGTTTTTTTTTAATTTTCAAAGTATCTCGGTTATTCTGGACTTGTTTGAAAAACGATAAAGAGAAAATATGCTTTATTTATCGAGGTCTACCAGCCCTGAAAATATTTGCACTTATTTAAAACTCACTCTATATATTAAAAAATCATATTTTACATAAAATCCATATTACATTTAAAGATAACACAACTCAAATCAGGGCCGTATCTAGACCAAAATTTCGGGGGGGGGGGTACAAAACTGCTAGGAAAAAAGCATAATAAAAAAATCGCTTTGGGCTACACTCAAATCTTAATTGAAAATAAAATGTTAAAAAAGGAACAGGCAAAAATTATTAATTTTAAAGGATAAACTGGTCTTTTCACTGGAAAAACGATTGACTCGATATCGATATTTATTTCTCTATGTACGCTTAATAGAGCAAGTCCTGTCAATCGCTCCTGACCTGTAGAGTTACGTAGAAAGTCCTTCAATCGTCTTATGCCGCAACCGCACATGCAGCATTTAGCGAACTCCGAGCGCTCGTCAACTACCGAACGCTCGTGATCGGACTTCGCCTTTCCATCCACACATGCGGGCTCTGATAGCAACAACATAGAGACGAGCGCTCGTTCTCGTCGCCGAACTCCGACTTCCTCATCCACACACATAGGAAATCGGCGAAACCCCGATCGGAGATCGCCGAATACCGCATGTGCGGTTGCGGCATTAGGGTTGAAAAAGACCTTTCTGGTGTAGCTGTTGACACTGGTAGAGTTGCTAAGATCATTAATAAAATGTATATATTTGGAAATATACACTGGTTACACTCCGATTATCGTTTCGATGGCGTTTTTAGGTCGGTCGACTGCAGGTAGTTGCTTCCATTTTTGCCGCCACAAGTCTAGTTCTGCCGCTAAAGTGTCATAGTCCAAGAATTCTTTGTCTAATAGCAGAACAATAACAAACGTTAATCACGTTAATGACCAGCAAAACACACAATATTCAAAATCTTGTCCTTGTCAAACTTTTGCTGTTTTAAACACTTGAATGTTGAAAGTCGAAAATCGAAAATGGCATTTGCTTTCAAAGTGGAAAAGTGAGGTTAGGGTGTATAATGTATATTCATCAATGACTAAAGAATACAAGGACAAATAGCACCCGAGACCAAACTGTGACCATTCTTCCAAACAGTGCCGTGGCACATATTTTACTTAACATTGCCGCTTGAAGGGATATTTATATATTTGATATTATATGTTTTCACTACGCCTATGGTGTATCGAGTAGTATCATACTAATTAATTACGAAAAAAAACGTATTCAAATGTTGACAAAAGGTACATAACTAGTATCGACGCATAGTACATATCAAGTACATATAATATCAGAAAAATAATTATCGAATTCAATAAAAAAACGCTAAAAAGGTGTAGGGGACTATTTATTTCCCTATAAAACGTAACTTCTGGCTCTTTCTTACATTGCGCCTTTTACACTTGAAAGCTGAACAAATTACCATTGTAATAAAGTTTATACAAAGTTCACTACACACAACCAACTATTAAAAATCGCTAAAATTGTCGCTGATGACCAGCTGATGATGTCGTTATGTCTAAAAAGTTGGCGTCTAAGGTCACAAATTCTGCTGCAGCCCGTATATGGACGTTACATGTCCTGGTATTCTTTAGTCATTGATATTCATCCATCTTCTTATTCTTCTTTTTTGTTTGGTTCTTACTTACTTACTCAATGATCATTACTTTTTAAAAATTTTCGGCCATAATTTCGGGGGGGGGGGGGTTTGAACCCCCAAAACACCCCCCCAGATACGGCCCTGACTCAAATTAGCGCCGCTATTAAATTATATATGCGATAAAATATTTAATTTTCTAATAGTTTTCTTATCTTTTTGTTTTATTTTGAGGTCCCTATTCGTATATTTTATAGTATAGAATATTTTCAGCCAGATAAAGAGTTTTAGAGCATAGTCTTTTGGAAATTGAGGACATGGGTGTTCCAAATGTTCTTTGTTTATTATACTATACAGTTTTTGTGAAATTGATGGCCCAGTACGAATATTCTCAAAATTAGAATTAAGTAAATATTTTTTCTAATTCATTTATCCATTTATATAACAAGGCTTTTAATTTAAGCCCCCTTTTCACAAGGGGGCAATTTATTAATTTTGCAAAAGGCAGTTTTTAATAATTAAACCCTAAAAACCTGCATCTATTTTAAGTTTTAATAATATTTAGTCCTGAAAGTTAGTTTCTTTCTTTAAGTACTATTATAAGATAAGGTAAGGATAAAATATAGATTAATTAATTCAAAAAAAGATTATTTACACAAATAAAAAAATAGTAAGATTTCAGGACTTATCATTAACAATGGCAACGCTGGTCGTATTCCGAAAACACGTTGAGATGACAGTTAGCATGTTTACCTCCCACTCCAAATTTTTAGGCGGGATTCGTTTTGTAGAAGTGTCTAGCCCTAGCAGTCAACTTGAGTCAACTATTAACCTTGACCAATCAGGTTGGTTAGCGTGGTTATGTGGAGTGTGTTAATTCATTTGTGTTTGTCAAAAACTCTAACGTGATTGGTCGGGCTTAATAGTTGCCTGCTAGGGCTAGACACAAGTCGTTTTGTCGCTTCTCAACGTTTGTTCTTCTCTGGTATAGGCTTGGTGCATTCTCCGCCGGTGCTGCCACCATCGGAGAATATCGTAAATAACTAGTATATACAAATACACCGGTTTAAATAGCGAGTAGGTATACGAAAAAAATATATTATATAGTTATTTTAAAAGTATTAGGAAGTACCGTATGATCGAAAAAAAAACGGCGTCCAGTTGGCTTGGAAATGAACATCGTTGA